AGCAGGGGGCAAATCGTGCCAGCCACAGTCAGCACCACCCAACAGGTCTTCCTCGCCTTGGAAGAGCAAGGACTCAAGCTGGCGGGCAAGACCACCTTCATGCCGACCCACTACAGCGACACCAAGCATATCCAAAATCAACTACAGCTCCGAGGCATCACCCTCGAAGCGGACAGAGCAGCACGTGGCGCAACCAGGCGACCGACGCACGCCAACATACTCAAAGCGGCACGACGCAGACTCGGAGCAGTGGGCAGGAAGCTGACGAGATTCAGACCAGGACGAAAGCCAACATCACCCAGCAAGGCTCCATGGCCTCGCTCAAGTACGGCACGGAGTTTCACGGCTTAGCTCCCACCGCGCTGCTACATGCGAGACGCAAATACGCACGGGCTCTACGACGCCCATGGCTTGGAAGATGCCTGACCACGCACCAGGACTTTGAAGGCGCCGACCCGGCCTACACCGTAGCCAAAGCACAGTTCGCCAACTGGTCCAACTGCTGGGGACTCAACTGCTGGGGACGAGCATGGCTTAAGATCAACTGCGGAATTCTCAGAGTACCAGCCAACAGAAGATGGACGCAAACAAGATGTCCTATAGCATCCATCATCCTTGCGCTCTGGGAGCTGGGCTGGGACTCCAGAAGGCCAGAGCATTGGATCGGCCGCGACAAGAACGACTGGAATTTCCCGCGGGACGGAGAACGTGGCGACCACGCAGACATCCTGGACGCCATCGCAGCAGACGCACGACTCAGGCTGTGGCAGCCCGCCGCAGAGTATTACAATGGGAAAGGCCTGGAGTACCACGGAGCGGATGCGACGGACATGAAAAGACACCTAGAATGGCTCCGCGAACGAGGCAACCAAACGTGGTCTTCTTACAGCGGCTTGCGCAGGAACATGAACAATAACGCAGAAGAAGGACACATGTGGACTCGGATGCGATGTCTGCGAATGAGGATCCACGGGCACCGACTACCACATAATATGGGAACGATGCCACTGCAGGAGCGACGGCCCAGCGTTCAAGAAAACGGAAAGGCTACGCGCCCCAGCGGCGGTGGGCCACAGCGACGCGTTTGCATTATGGTTTCGAGGTCTCCTTCCAGCCCCCAGGCGACAATCCTGTCGTTGTATGAGGCGATGTCTCAGGTGGCAAGCGCAGCGCGGACTGGCGACGCTGACGACGCGGCTGGGCCTGGGCACGGCTCGCTTCAGCTTGCGTCGACGACAGCTTCCAGATCGCTGCAGCACGCTACGGCCAATTATCACGCGGACGGCAGACCTGCAATAGAGCAGAATTGTGGGCGCTACTGGACTGCTGGCGACACGCAGCGGGGCCGCTACGATATTGGACAGACAGCGAGCTGGCATTCAAAGGATGGCGCAACCAAAAGATACATGCGAGCCGGCGAGGTAGGCACCAACGGCGACCTCTGGGTGCCTACCAGCACGGAGCTCAGCACACGAAGCCCCAGTGGTGACGAAGTTGTCGAAGTCCACCGCATCAACGGCCACCTCGCGTTGTAGGAGGTTCAGGCGCTAGGGTTTACATGCACGGTGCGGCAACGGACAAGTGGATGAGCGATCAGAGACATCAGCGCGAGAGCATCATACCGACGACACACAGATGCCGCGCTACGACTGGGCCAACGCTACAGCTGCACCTGCCCGTCGCAGAATAGCAGCAGCAACAGTCGACGCCATCGATAGACGACCATCCAAATAATAAGGGGCGCGCGAAGCCAGACTCGACATGAACGACAACGGACGGCACAAAAACGACGTCGACGGGACTACTTCGCCGAAGGGCCCGACCAGTCGGAGGGGGGGGGCGACCACCAACCGCGCACAACCGCGCACAACCTGACGAGGACAAGACGTGGCAGAGGGTGGCAACGCAAGTGCTGCCTGCGAAGAGTGGGCAAAGACACCAACTTTGAAGCCGTAAAGGAATGGTTCAAAGAGGGGCGCAAAGGACAGCCACCAAGACACGGCGCAGAAGTCATGCAGCACGACGCAGCAGGTCACCCAAGCCACCCTCTGGTACTGCTCAGGGATGAAGCCACATGATTCTGCAGGCTATGTGGAGCCACAACGATGGAGTACATCTCGGGCAACATGAAGAACTAATGCAACAACGACCTGGCTACAGCAGCACCAAGTACAAACTACTCCACGGGCTCAACGAGGCGAAGCAGGAATAATGATAACAAGGACACAGCGGCTCGGAAAACAGCCAGCTGACGCGCGCCACACCCCTTCAGCAGAGAGGGCAGTTGTGAGCTCCGACCTGCTTGGCGATCCGTCGCCCACGTTTTGCCGACGGCAGTCGCCCAGCCGCGGCCAGCTCGGCGTCGACGACAGCGGCTTGCAGGAGGGCCAACAGGCACGCGCCACACCGCCTCGCCAGAGGCAGGATGCGAGGACCGACCTGTTTGGCGAGTCGCCAGCGTTTTGCCGGGGTGCCCCGTCAAAAGTCCTCGCGCAGCGAGGTTCAAAGTCGCCAGAGTTTTTCGGACATGACAGGGGCTGCGATATCCACCCCAGGAGTCGAACCGTTGCGAGCAACGGGGCTGATTGGGAAGGGCGCCCACTACCTGCGTCGGCCAGGGGGGGGGGGGGGGGCGGTGGGCGGAGGTCAGCGTTCAGACCCGCGCCCGCCGAGGCTGACCGCCCCCATCGAGGACATCAAGCAGGCTCAGTACCACGACGACACCAGCGAGCTGAGGAGAGACAACACTACGTCTGGCACTGCCGCCCTCCTTGGAAGGTATGCCGCTTCGGGCGCCTGCGGCAGCCGCCGTGGGAGCCCGTCGTCGCGGGGCGCCGGGGATCTCGGAGGCGGGTCGTCTACGCGCCGGGGTGCGAGCCCGACCCCGCAGCTCCCCGCGCCCCCGCCAGACGCGCGGGGAGAAGGGGCGGGCCCTAGGGGCGCGGCCCCTGCAACTGCTGCGAGAAGGAGGATGACGACGAAGCAGAGACCGCAGCAGAGTATTGCCACCATCCTTGAAAGGCATGTCGCGTCGGGCGCCCATGGCTCGCGCCGCGGGGGCCCGACGCGCCGTGCTGGGGATCTCGGGGGCGGGTCGTCCACGCGCCAGAGCGAGAGCCCGACCCCGCAGCTCCCCGCGCCCTCGCCAGACGCGCGGGGAGAAGGGGCGGGCGGCCCCCAGGGGCGCGGCTTCTACAACTGCTGCGGGAAGGAGGATGACGACGAAACAGAGACCGCAGCAGAGCACTGCCGCGATCCTTGGAAGGCATGTCGCGTCGGGCGCCCATGGCTCGCGCCGTGGGGGTCCGACGCGCTGGGGATCTCGGAGGTGGGTCGCGATCGCCAGCGAGGGCCTCAGCACTGCCCTCCGCGCCTCAGCCAGACGCGCGGGGAGGGAGGGCGGTCCGCAGGGACGCGGCCCTCTGAGCGACCGCGGCCCGCGGCCGCGCCGCCGCGACTCCCGGCGCCTCCGCGAGACGCGCAGGGAGAGGGGGCGGTCCTCAGGGGCGCGGCCCTCGGAGCGGGGGCGGCCGCGGGGCCGCGGATTGCCTTTGCCGACAGCCATTGCGGCTGGGAGGTAGCTCTAGTAACTCCTTTTCCTCCTCTTCCTCGCTGCTCCTCCTCCTCTTCCTCGCTGCTCCTCCTCCTCCTCCTCCTCCTCCTCCTCCTCCTCCTCCTCCTCCTCCTCCTCCGCCTCCGCCTCCGCCTCCTCCTCCTCCTCTTCCTTCTCCTCCTCCTCCTCCTCCCCTCCTCCTCCTCCTCCGCCTCCCCCTCCTCCTCCTCCTCCTCCTCCTCCTCCTCCTCCTCCTCCTCCTCCTCCTCTTCCTCCTCCTCCTCCTCCTCCTCCTTCTTCTCCTCCCCCGTCTCCTCCTCCTCCTCCTCCTCCTCCTTCTCCTCCACCGCCTCCTCCTCCTCCTCCTCCTCCTCCTCCTCCTCCTCCTCCTCCTCCTCCTCTTCCTCCTCCTCCTCCCCCTCCTCCCTCTGCCCCTCCTCGCCCCATCGCCCGATCCTCACCCGCCGTGGCTTCGTCTTACGCGAGGACTTGAGGCCAGAGCAGGGCGAGAGGGGGGGCGGAGGGCGAGGGGGGGGCGGAGGCTCCGGAAGAGCACCGGGAAGCGGCGGCCGAGGGGCGGCCGCGCGAGCTCGGAGAGGCTCCCCCCGAACATCGCGTCTGCTGCGGCGAGTGCCGCGGTGCTGGCGCGTCGCCTGGCGCGAGGACCTCTTCGTCTGGTCTTCAGAGGAGGGAAAGGTACTGCCGCTACCCTTTCCCCGTTTTCCCCATTTTGAGCCTCTGGGGAGGCCTTCGCCACCACCCCTGCATTCGTTTCGGAATCCTGGCCAGGCCGCGCCCCCCGGGAGAGATCCGGGGAGCACCTGTATCGGTACCTTTTCGCCTCCCAGGTCCCGGTTTCCCGTCGCTTGGTGCGAGGGCCTCGCCTGGTCCCGGGTCCCCCCCGTCTGGTGCGTAGGCCTCGTTGCGGGCGCATCCTTCCTTCTCTCCACGCCGGCAGGCGGACCCCATCAACAGTTCCTCCGTTTGCCCTTAATCCACAGGTTTGGGTGCAGTTCATTCTGCTTGATCTCGACGATGGCGCTGCCACCGTGCCCGAGGAGGAACAAGTGGGCGAGGTCCTTCCCTCCGCGGCAGCTTCTTCTCCGGAGCCACCGCAGGCGTTCCAAAAAGCGCCTCTTCTTCGAAAAGTTGATACCTGTTCTCCGGCGGAAGGCGACGGAATGCTGGCGGAACCCAAACGGGGGTTGTTCCGCCGGCGGCAAGCTCGCGGAACCATAAGGTGCGCCCCCCCCAAGAGATGACAATTTGTTTGGATTCAAGGTTTCATGAACCCGCCTCTTGCGTAGGTGCAATTTGCTATCGCATAGCCCGCCGTAGCTCTGTCCGTAGCGAGCCTTCCGTCGCTGCGGGCCAACAGGTGTGTCATCTTGTCATCTGCTACCCTACACGCGTCCATCCATGCCCGAGCGGCAGCTCCGCTGCAAAGGCGGTCGTGGCTGATGGTGCGAACCTGGAGTCGGCGCAGTCGCGGTTTTCGGCTGACGCCGAGGAAGCGATGGCCAAAGTGGCTGCATTGGAGGATCCGCTTTTCCTTTTCTCCCACGTTTCGCCTTGCCTGGCAGAGACAGTGGTTGAGGGGTACCAGTCAACGAGGGGCAGTGGGGCCGACGAGGGGATGCGGACGTGGATGCGGAAATGAATCAGAGAGGTGGAGCATGAGGATGACTAGGAGAACTTGGACAAGAAGCGTTTGAAGGACTATCGGAAGCAAAACGACGCTATGGAGGAGAGTGGCATGACGATCCACAAGCTTTAGCACTGACACATCTGCGTTATGAGTTATGATGCGCTCCCGTCGCGTCTTACCTGCCAGGGGCAAGTGGCGAGGTTCCGGGGCGAGTCCGAGACTGCGAGGGGCCGCGTCGCCGAGATCGAGGATGAGTTAGCCAAGCGGGAGGACTTGAGTGTTTCTTTTGGGTGGGTGGTCGGGCACGGCATCGAGTTGCATCTTATATTCGGTTCAGTGGCATAGTAGGGGGAGATTGTGACCCACCACTTGATGACCACCGTGCGAAATCGCGTTCCGCATTTGAAAGAGATGCCGCGCGCGCGTCGGACAGCCTGCACGCATATAAAGCAGTACTGCTTGTCAGGAATGCCTGCCCGCTGTTTGTACACAGTGCATTGCGAAATGGTAAGCAGCATATGGTGGTATATCTTCATCGTTTCGATCCTTGACTGTTCCCTACAAGTGAGGCACTTCTACGTGTTTGACTGTCCCCCTGGCTGCCTTTGAGGATATCTCGGGTTTGTCTGGTGTTATCTCCCTTTCAATCGTTGTTCATGTTATAAGCGATGCCGTCAATGTCTCATCTACCTTTACGGCTTCTGCAGAGTGGGACGTGCCGTCTGAAAGTCCAATAGGCAGTGTTGCGAACAGCACGGCTTGCGTTGCCATTATGTCCATACTCATTCCCTTGCGCACTGCAGCCCCGCCGCAAAAAAGGTCGAGGCAGAGGGTGCCAAGTTGAAATTGTTGTTGCCGTATGTTTCGGAAGATGGTGACGAATCAACATCGATGGCTGCTGCATTGGAGGACCAGCTTTCCTCGCACGCTTCTCACATAGATGCGTGGAGGGAGGCCAATCAACACTTGGCGGTGGAGACGGGGAGGAGAGGATGATGAAGAGGAGGGGAGCGGAAAAGGGATGAGGACGATGAGGGCTTGAATCCGAAATTATGTGAGGAGCCGTCGGGAATAGAAGGACAACGGCAACGTTGATACTGGCTTGGCGATCGAGCAGCCTCGGCGCTGGCATACATGTGTTGTGGTGTGTTGTCTGTCGCCTGCGCCTGCGAGGAGCTACTGGCGAGGTTACGGGGCGAATCCGAGACTGCGAGGGGCCGTGTCGCCGAGCTCGAGGATGAGCTAGTCAAGACTCGCGAGGACGGGAGTGCTTCTTTTGGGTGGGTGCGGCAGAGCGTCGCACGCATTGGTGTGCCCTTGGTTGGCCTGGGGGTGATCGGTTCTGGCATTTTGTTCGGCACGCGCAGGCTTGCAACAACCGTGCGAGCTAGTATGCTGCACTTGTGCAAACGTTGTGTGCGCGACGAGGAGTTGCTCGTGGAAGCGGAGTTTACTTGCAAGCAGTTTTGGGTATAATTGTTGTCCGCCCGATGATTGCTTTAGAGCGTGCAGTCCAATTTCGCTGATGGCTTCTGTCAGTCTGATCGATTGTTCCCCATTACTATCGAATGGCCGTGTTGGTACAACGCCTATTGGATGTTCGTTGGGATCTCGTGGGGGGGCCCCTCGGAGGCCTCTTGGAGGCAGTTGTGATGCCTCTTGGGGGCCGTTTGGGGGCCTCTTGGGGCCTATTGGGTGCCGTTTGGGGGCCTCTTGGGGCCTCTTGGGCGCCTCTTGGGGCCTCTTGGGCGCCTCTTGGGGCCTCCTGGGCGCCTCCGTTCTCCGGATTTCCGGTTCGTGATCCCTCTCTTGGGCATTGTTTGGGGACGTCTTGGGGCCCTCTTGGGCCGTTTTGGGCGCCTCTTGGGCCGTCGTGTGGCTCTCTTAGGCCGTTTTTGGGCCTTCATTGAGGCCTTCTGGGCCGTATTGGAGTGGTCTTGGGGGCCTCTTTGGCTGTCTTCGAGCGTCGGAAAAACAAAAAGGCGAGAATGCCAAACTTCTTCAACATCCGAAGGACAATCAATAATTAGTCAAGTAGTCCCTCTTGGGGCCCTCTCGGGAGGCTTCTTGGATGCCGCTTGTGGCGTCTTGAACGCCTCTTGGGCCATCTTGAGGCCATCTTGGGCGTCTTTGAGGGATCGTTCGGCGACTCGGGGCCCTCTTGGACTCATTGGAGGGTTCGGGACGTCGCTTTGGGGGGGGCACAGCGTCCACAGGAGGCGCAGGAAACACTTCAGAACGCACGGGAACCAGCCCGAGAAAACCCGGGAAGGTTTGGGACACGATTGGCCCGGGCCCTTCAAGACTTACAGTTCTTGATGTAGAAGCAGTACAGCGTCTACCTCTCCGTTTTGCATGAGCCTTGGGGCACTCCACTTCGTGCCAGAGGCACCGTGGCGGATCTCCTCTGACGCCATACCATGTATCTCGAATGCCTGTTTCCCCCTGTGGTTCCCTCTCTCTCTCTATCGTTGTTTCCCTTCTCTCTCTCTCTCTCTTTCTCGCTCTCCCTCTGTCTGTATCTAGGCCGCCTGTGTATACCCCTGAATCAATGTGTATTGTTTTGGGATTTGTCTGTTTGGCTCTCCCAGTTTGTTGCCATTTCTCGTTGAGTCGTTGCCGACTCTGCAATAACCGCTGGTGCTACACGGGACGCGTCGTCTGAAAGTGCGCCAGGTAGCCCTGGTAGCCTAGCCAACGAAACTCAGCGTTGTCGTGTTTCCAACGCCATCGCCCTCAGCATTGCACCACCGCCGCAAAGGCAGACGAGGCTGCGGTCGCGAAGCTGAGATCGGCGCAATCGCTGTGTTCGGCAAGTGCCGAAGAAGCCAGGACCAAGGCTGCCACATCTGAGGATCCGCTTTTCTCGTGTCTATCTTGCATGCGACCGTGGAGACAGACCAATATAGAAGAGGCAGTGGAGATGGGGGTGGCATGGGAGAGGCGGGGGAGGAGGGGCGGAGGAAGAGGAGGAAGAGGACGAGGAGGTGCAGAAGGGAGAGAAGGGGGCTGCGGCTGACGAGGAGGGCCTGGACCAGTGAACTGCACGTGGAGGGCGATCTGCAGTATGACGACGACGATTCTGATGCGGGCTTGGCGATCGAGGCTTGTGCTCTCCTACCGTGCTGCTCTTGACTATCAGGAGCAAGTGGCGAGGTACAGAGGCGAGTCCGAGACCGCATGGGCCCGCATCGCCGAGCTCGAGGATGCTTTAGCCAAGGGTCGGGAGGGTGCGAGTGTTGTTTTTTTGAGTCGGCGGCGCACGGCAGTGAGTCGCATATCGAAGACGCCTGCAGAAACTCACCGCCGCCCCCCTGCCCCTAAGGCACGCAAGGCACCTGTGGCCGTTCGTCAATGAGCGTCTCGCTCGACTGTGAGTGATTGAGGATTTCCATAAGTCTTGTCGGGATGGCTGCCAGGACACACGGAGACGCATGTGAAGCGCTGTCTTTTGGGCTCTTCTGGAGCTTTTGGACGCCCTCCTGGGCGTTCTCGGAGAGCTCCATCTGGGGCTGCCTCTGGGCCCTTTTGTACAGTCTTGGGGCGTTCTTGGGCCGTTTGGGCCGTCAGAGGCCCCTGAAGGCTGTCTGGGGGAGGGCTCTTGGTGCCATCTTGGGGGCCACTTGGGGCGCTCTTGAGGAGTCGTGGGGCTCTCTAGTGCCGTATTGGGACCCTGGCGGGGCCTTGTTGAGACGATTTGGGGCTGCCTTGGGCCGACTTGGGGCTCTCTTGAAGCCCTCTTGGGGCAAGTTTCGCCCTTATTGGTGCGTGGTCTATCTTGAGTCGTCTTGGGCATTCTGAAGCAAGACAGCGGAAGCAGGGTAAAATCATTGCAGTTGGGTCCAGCGAGTGCTTGAGATAAGCGTGCAGCGATAGCAGGCCCTTGTCGCTGCTCAGCGCGATGTTGGGGCTCGAATGGGCTGCGGACTGACATGCCAAGAGGGGGAGGCAAAGGGGACAGACTACCCCAACAACAAACGCAGCTGGAATGTGTTGAGTGAGCGACTCGTAGGAGAGCTGGGGCTTCTTTAGGGACTTCTCGTGCCGTCTTGGGTCCATCTTGAGCCTTCTTGGGCTTGGCGAGCAGCGCAATGGGCCGAAAGAGCTCGCGGGAAGCTTGGCTCGCTCTGCAAGGCATGGCTCGGAGAGAACCCGTCGTTCTGCAAGGCATGGCTCGCCAGGCCCCTCTTCGATGAACCAGAAGACAGCGGATCGAGGACGCCTATGGCGAATCACCGCCGCCCCCTGTCGTCGTGGAAGTGCGCAAGGCACTTGTTGCCCATCGTCCATGTGAAGCTCGCGCGTCTGTGGTGGAATGCTGGGTTCCCGAAGTGCTGGCAGGACGAATGATGAAGCGCGTGGTGTCCACAGTGAAGGGTTATCTCTGCGAGGCCGAATGGGGTATTCGCTGGGCCGTTCTTTGTGTGTTTGTCTGAGGCCACCCAGGGTCTTTGGTCGTCTTGGGGTGTCCTTTGGGCCGAAGGGGCTCCTCGAGGCTACCTTGTGAATATCTTGTGGCCGTTCCGCCTAGAGGCTTGCTTGGCCTTCGTGGGGCTATCGTGGGCCGTCTGGAGCACCTCAAAGAGTCCTCGTGGGACGGCTTGGCGCCCTCTTGGGGCGTCTTGGGGCTGTCTTGGCTCTCTGGGTGGTGTATTGGGGCTCGTTTGGCCCTTTTTGGGGCGATCTTGGAGGTTGTTGGGGCAGTCTTGGGCACTCTGAAGCCCAAATCGGCGAGTGCGCGAACAATTCATGACACCGAATCGTGTTCAAACATATTTGACTTTCGGAGGTCTCTTCGGGGTACAGTACTATTGGGACCCTCTTGGGGCGCCTTGGCAGCCTCTCGAGCCGTCTTGGGGCCAACTTGGGTTGTTCTGGGGCCGTATTGGGTCGTATTGGTGGCCGTCCGGGACCATCTTGCCTGTCTCGGAGCCCGTCCGAGACCGTCTTGGAGGCCACTGTTGGGCCACCTTGGCAGTCGTGAGGGCCGCCTTGGCGTCCTGAGTGCGGTTTTTTGTCATGCAATGGGGGCAGGGTCCTATTGTTTTGCATGGGCCCAAGGGCTGGTGGCAAGCTTTGGGCGGCCGGGCTCCCGAGCAGGGGGCGAGGGCGGCCACCGCGAGGCGGCAGGGGCCACCGCGGCGCGGGAGGGCGCGGGCGGTGCTCGGAGGAGGGGCAGTCGAGACAGCTAGATAACCAGAACCCCAGGAGGTCTTCAGTTCTGCCCCATCCCCCCCCTCCCCCGGGAACCTGCCACGCCACGAGCCCCTGCGACGAAACGAGAGGTGGTGGCGGATCGGCCCAGCCCACCACCGCGCCCGGCTTGCAGGTCTCTGGGGGGCGCGGTGGGGACGGTGGGCGCCAACAGCGCATTCCCAACCATGTCCCCGAGAGGGTCGTGCTGGGAGGAGAAGGAGGAGGAGGAGGAGGAGGAGGAGGAGGAGGAGGAGGAGGAGGAGGAAAAACAGGAGGAGGAGGGAAAGGGCGCTCAGAGGCATGTTGCAGATTTCCGCGCCACTGGTGGAGAAGTCACGCTGTAGCGCTGCTTCGCGGAAACGTCACAGGGCCGATGCGCTCCTTCAACATTTCTTACAGGGGGGGTCCTGGAAGTCTGCTGAGGGTATTCGCGCCATGTTATGGAGAAATGGCGGACTCCAAATTTGTGTCCCTGGGGTCCGCTTGCGGTCCCCAGTGTGGGCCCCCTCTTGGGACAGTCTGAGCGGCTTCTCGGTGAACGTGCCGGGGCCATCTCGGGTGCCCCTTGGGCTGTGCGGGAAGCTCTTGAGGCCGAAACAGTTGCACTAAGCTTGCGCGCATACTTCAGGCTTCCAGTCTTGAGACATCTTGGGAAGTCCCAAAGGCCCCTGCGAGCGCCTGTGTCCTCCATGGGCTCCAGGATCGGGTTTGGTAGCGACCTCAGCAAGCATCTCGAGAACTGGCACGAGAGCTAGAGCCATCAACCTTCAACATGTTTTTACAGTAACAGTGCGGACCATTAGGGAACTGAGAGTGTCCACTACGTGCCAAGGGGCAACATGACGGATAGGTAGTCAGGGGAATGATCGCGTTTACCACGTTGGTTGGGTACACGCTTGGTTGCAACTGCGCAGGCCCGTGTCTACCATTAGAACACGTGTTGTTTGCGCGTCGGGGCATGTGCTTGGAAAAGTTTGGGATGCCCGAGGGGCCGACGTGTCATGGTTGTGTTGTGCTCCTTGTTTGTTTCGGAGTGGACTGTCAATTGCCATTGCCATCCGCCGCCCATCCCAAACGTAATGGTGACAATGGACGGTTCCATGCTTCACTTCGGCCTCTGGCGATCTGTCGCGCTGTTCATATCCCTCTCTCTCTCTCTTGTTCTCGATGTATATTTATGCATACGTATCTATGTGTATATATACATATACTGTAATGGCCTCCGGCCAGTGCCGCCGATCCGGGGGGCTCCGGCTTCGGTGATCTTCGCGGCTCTGTGGCCTCCTCCCTCCTCGATTCTTCCGGTCCTCTTTCTTCTCCTCTGGGGGGGTGCCTGGAGCGGTCCCGGGGGGGGGTCCGGGGAGGGTTCCGAGGGGAGGGTCCTGGGGGCGGTAGCGGCTAGATCTGAAGGGCGCCCTTGGGACCCCCGAAACATCTTGGGGATGTGCAAGCCATTAAGAAAACGCCAGATGGGGGACCGCCTCTCCCCCCCTTCCCGGGGGGGATCCGGATGCGCAAATCATGGAAAAAACAAATGGGGGGCCGCCCCCCCTCCCCCCCCTTTCCCGGCAGAGCCACCCTGGCGACCCCCCCAAAGCAGAGCTGAAGCTCTTGCTTAGGCTCAGAGCTGAAGCTCTTGCCGAGGATCCTTGTAACTCACACGCCAGATCGGCGGATATATACAGACATAGAATGGTTGGCTCATCCTGTCACCGTGCATGGGTTGTGGGTGTGAAACCTATTGGATGTTCGTTGGGATCTCGTGGGGGGCCTCTTGGAGGCAGTTTGGGCGCCTCCCTGGGGCCGTTTGATGGCCTCTTGGGGCCTCTATTGGGCCTCTTGAAAATATGTTGCGGCCTCTTCGGGTGCCTCGTGGAGCCTCCTGGCCGCCTCTTGGGGCCTCCTGGGGGCCTCTTGGGGCGGAAGGCTCGGATGTTCGGTTCGGGTTCCCTCTCTTGCGCCTCTTTTTGGGCCGTCTTGGGGCCCTCCTGGGCCGTCTTGGGGCTACCTTAGGCCGTCTTTGGGCCCTCTTGGAGGCCTCTTGTGCTGTCTTGGGGCGATCTTGGGGGCCTCCTAGGTCCTAGGAGCGTCGAGATGCCGAAAAGGCGAGAACGCTCAAATCCTTGTAAACTTTGGGGCCTTTGGGGGCCCTCTTGGAAGGCCTCTTGAGGGCCTCATTGGGCGTCTTGGAAGCCTCTTGGGCCGCCTGGGGGTCATCTTGAGCGTCTTGGAGCGATCGTTCGGCGACTCGGCGCCCTCTTGGACAGTGTTGGAGGATTCTTGCGGCCATCTTGGCCCGTCTTGGGGCTTTTTCGGGCCCGGAAAAATCATGCGGGAACATTTCCTGGAGCCCAGGGGGCACGCGGGAAGCCCCGGTAGATTTGAGAATTTGAGGTCTGGGCCCTTTAAAGACGCCCCAGGAGTGAGGATTGAGGCTCAGAGGATCAGGCAAGGGACCTGAGGGCACGCCCCCTCCGTGCCCAAAGCCACGGTGGCGGATGTACCAGAGTGAAGGGGCCGAACGGTCTTACACTGTCCCCGGGCGTATGGTCGAAGTGGGTTCCCGCGGTGTGGGTTCTTGTTGTCTTGTTTTGCTGTCGTCGTCCCACCCTCGACCCATCCGCGACCCACCCCGCGACGCACCCGCGACCCACCCGCGACCCACCCGCGACCCACCCGCGACGCACCCGCGACCCACCCGCGACCCACCCCGCGACCCGCCCGCCCACGACCCACCCCGCGACCCACCCCGCGACCCCACTCGCGACCCACCCCGCGATACACACCGCGACGCACCCGCGACCCACCCCGCGACCCACCCGCGACCCACCCGACGACCCACCCGCAACCCACCCGCGATCAACCCGCGACCCACCCCAGACAGGAGGAGGAGTAGGACCAAGAGGAGGAGGAAGAGGAGTATAAGGCGAGGGCCAGGAAGTCCGCCGCCTCGACGGCCGCGTCGGCCGCGCCCGCCCCCTCACTCTTATCCGCACTTCCGGGGTGCCAGGTATGTATGTATTGTTCTGTGGATCCTCCCCATATGCAACATGTGTATTGTGGCCGCTCTCCCCTATAGTGTGAATGTCGAGGCTGCCCTTGCGAGCGCCGCTAAAGGTTCGTGTTCCGTGGAAGCGTCTGGCATTGGTGAACGTAATTTTGGTCGGCCCAGTCTATGAATTGTCATCGGCCCCAAACGTCGTTGTTCCGCCGCAAAGACGCGCGAGGCCGAGGGTGCGTAGCTGGAATCGTCGCAGTCGCGGCTGTCAGCAGATGCCGAGGGGCAAGGGCCAAGGTTATTGCATTGGATGACCCGCTTTGGTGTCCCCCATTGCAACATGGGCCGAAGGTGCGTGTCGTATAATTGTCCCATGGACGGGCACCCAGTATACCACAGGGATCTCAATCAGCTGATCGTGCGTACCATGTCAAGGCAGCCCGATGTACTGGGCTAGAGCACATGATGACGGGTGTGGTTCTCTCTGTTCGGTCTTCTATTGTTTTTGTTTTCTGAAGTATTATCTACTCTGTGCTCTCCTTCTCTACATTGGATCTCTGCCCTCAACCGGCTACTCTCCACTCTATGCGGTCTCCCCCTCTACTCTATTCTCGCCTCCGCGTTCTCGCCTGTGTACTCCTCTGCAGTCTGCTTCATGTTCTCTGTTCTCTATTCACCAAATCGTCGATACCATTTTCCCTCTACTCTATGTTCCCTCTCGTCTCCTTCCTGCTTATAATGGCTCTACTTCTTGTGATCCGCCAAGTTTCTATTAGTAGTTCCATTCTATATGATCCAAGAATGACCCCCCATTGCATATGGGGCCGAAGCCCCACCCCGCTGGAGGGGTACGTGAGCCTCGCGAATGCCTCGCGAATGGGATCGCTCCGACCCCCCGCACCTGTGGTCGTGGCACTGTGGGCGTGGCGTGGTGGAGGGTGCCGGTGATTCCCTCCCCCCTCCTTGTGGGAGTGGGGTAGATCTTCATCGTCGTCTTCCGTCGTCATCGTTGTCGTCTTCCGTCGTCGTCGGCGTCGGCGTCGGCGTCTGCGTCGTCGTCGTCGTCGTCGTCGTCGTCGTCGTGGTCGTCGTCGTCGTGCCCCCCATATCCCATCGGGGGCGTGGTCTGTGGAACCCTGGGACCCATCCCATCTGGGGCGGGGGGGACTATGATCCTTCGGCCCAGGCTGACGTGTGTTCTCTGTGTGTTCTGCTTCGAGAACCTCGGACCCCTTTCCGCCCACAGGAACCGATGAGAATTTGTTCACCAACTCCTAGAATCAGTAACGTGGCAACCCGGCCGCCAACCGAATTCTGTGGCACACTTTCGGTAAATCCTTAGATTGCCCAGAGCCCAAGACCTGGGATTAGCACACTCGGAATTTTGGAATTAGGAACTCGCACCAAGGAGACAACTCGCACATTGGAGACTACACACTTCCACCAATCCTTACAACCTCTGCGAGGACCTCTTCAGTGCAAGCACCGATAGGGGAGTGAACTATTGGCAGAGGAGGCGAGGATGGGAGGAGGAGGAGGTGGAGAAGGCGGTGGTGAGGATAACGAGGACTTTGATCAGGAACGTGTGAAGGGCGATATGACGTCGTCGACATTGGCACATCTGTAAGGATGAGCAGACATTTTCACTGACGGGCCTGTCCTGTCATATGCTCGTTCAGTATGACATGATCTTTCAGGAGCAAACGTCGAAGTTTCGGGACGAGTCCGAAACTGCAATGGGACGCGTCGCCGAGCTCGAGGATGAGTTAGCCAAGAGCCGAGAGGACTTAAGTTTTTTGTTTGGGCGGGTGAGGGGCACGGCAGTGAGTCTCATGTAGGGTTTTGCCCTTGGATGTCCTGGGGATGGTCGAATGCGTTTTTTTGGAATGGGCACGCGCATGGTAGGACATGTGCGCGTCAGTGCGTCGCACTCATGCAGAAGTTGTTTGTGCGTCGAGTTGGTCGTTTGGGGAAGGACAGGCTGCTTGCACAACGTGCGCATGCACTCCTCCTTGTGTAAATTTGCTGTTGCCTTCCTACAGCTCTCTTTCTTTATCTTTTCCACGTTCAAGCCGCAGGACAAGCGTGGGGCGACCCTCTCCCGCTATCGGTCGGCGCCGGAAGCGGAAGCATGCATCTCAACCCCAGGTACGATTGGTTACCAACCACGCTTGCCCGCTCGCACAGATTTGCTTCGCAAGTACGCCCTGCACGACACGGACCGAAACCGAAGTTCATGTACTGCTTTGGTGCCCCCCGTTCCACCCCCACACAGATTCCAGGGAGCTGCTTGACAGAACCCTAGCGAAACGGTCGCTTGCGTGACAGCCCGCTCGCCTCGTTGCAAGACGTGGGCAGGCGGCCAGCTTGGAGCCTCCAGGGTGGGGGGCTCGTCACGGCATCCATCACTCTTCCGTTGATTTTATGTCGAGCGGATGCCGAAGCTATCCTCAGAGCCGTTGCTGAGCCTGAGTGGGACCCATGTTGTGGAAGAACGACCGCGAGGTTCTGATAGCTGGTTTGGAATGTTGGTTGTTATTGCGAAGGCCTACGGCCACTGCCGCCGACCCTGCATGGCGGCGACAACCACGACCACAACGACGAAGCTCTCGAGGGCCTCCTGGGGGTAGTTTGGGGGCCTCTTGGGAAGCTCTTGGGGGCCGCTTGGGAGCCTCGATGGGGCCTCTTGGGGCTTCCTGGGGGTCTCATGGGGGCCTCTTGGGGCTTCTTGGGGGGCTTTTTAGGGGCCTCTCGGGGTCTTCTGAGAGCGTCTCAAGCCGAGGGCTCGAAATGTCCGTTCGGGTACCCCGTCTGGGCTCCCTCTTACAACCGTCTTGGGAGCCTCTTCGATTGTCTTGGAGGCCTCTTGGACGGTCTTGGGGCCCTCTTGGGTCGTTTTGGGGCTATCTTGGACCCCTCTTGGGCCACATTGGGGCAGTCTTGGGGGCCTCTTGGCCTGACTTGGAGCGTCGGGAAGTTGACAAGGCGAGAATGCCGAAATCTTTCAAACAACTAAGGGAAATCGATGAGTTGTGTTCCTTGGTGCCCTCTTCGAAGTCCTCTTGGAGGCCTCCTGGGACGTTTTGGAAACCTTTTGAGCCGTCTGGAGGCTACTTTGGCGACTTGGACCGATACTTCGGCGATTCGGGGCCCTCGAGGACCGTCTTAGGGGCATCTTGGAGTATTGTTGCTGCGTCTTGGGCTTTTCTGGGCCCCCGAACCGCCAGGGGGGAGTCGTATCTGACCCGGGACTTCCCCAGGACTTCCCCGCCTCCCCCCCCCCCTGGCGGGGACGGGATCAAAGGGAAGGGGCTTCCTTTCGATTCCACTACAGCGTTGCTCAATTTCGCTTTGGCTGGCGCGTTCGACGACGACAACGACCACGACGACGACGACGAGTCGAACGGAACAGCCTCTTCCACACGCCGACAGGGACGGCGGACTTGTTCCCCCATTACTCCTAACGATGTAACTCCGCTGCGCAGGCGGTCAAGGACATGGCTGCGAAGCTGGAGTCGTTGCAGACGCAGCTCTCGGCAGATGCCGAGGACGCAAGGGCCAAGGCTGCTGCACTGCAGGACCAGCTTGCGTTGCTTCCTTCACCTTGTTGGTCTACTTCATAAGAAGTGGTAGGCAAACTAGTAGTCGCGCCAGGAGAGGAAGACTGAGCAGGCGAAGGAGCAGGATGGGGCAGGCGGATCAAAAGGTGGAGCAGGAAGAGAGGAGAGGGCTTGCTTGATCAAGAAGCCTCAGCTCTGACAAACACGTGTCAGGAGTTGCTCCTCCGTTATGCCTCCCTCATTCGCCAGGAGCAGGTGACGAGTCTTCGTGATGAGGCCGTGGCAGCGAGGAGCTGCGCCACGGAGTTGGAGGACGAGCTGGCTAAGAATCGGGAGGACGCCATTGGGGCTGGCATCGGAGCAAGTTCGCCGAGTGCAGGGCTCCATGGAGAATTGTTGAGTGACGGTATGCTTGTGACACACTGGCACAGCTCGGAGCCCGGCCATCCAATAATGTTGCATCTTGTGTGCGACACTGTGCCATCTAGGAAGTATCGGTTTTGCCTATGCAGTCGATGCAGCCATTGTTGCTTCGGCTGATGGCGCAGGCATGCTTAAGCAAGTGCGACTGGCTGTCTCATTCATGCGATCAGCGGTGCTGTCCCTCGTGTGTTGTCGCTCGCAGGCAGTATCATGCTCTCTCTCTCTCTATCCCTCTCTCTATCTGCCCCCCTCCATCTCCCAGTTGCCCTGCCATCCCTGTCGATGTTGACGCTAAGGTCACCGTCTCAAGTATGACCAGATGTATTGTAGGCTGGCATCGTACCTGATCGTACGGTAGCGTCGGTCTGTTCACAGGTTCAGTTGCCATCCATAACGTTTGCATCCATGCTCGCACTGCAGCATCTCCACTGAGGAGGCCGTGGTGAAGGGCGCCAAGTTGGACTCTATGCAGTCCCGACTCTTAGCAGATGCCGAGAAGGCACAGTCGACGATTGCTGCGCTGGAGGATCCGCTCGCTCTGCTCTCCCTCTCTCTCTCTCTCTCCCTCCTAGTCGCACTCGTTGCCACTGTGCAGATGGGTGAAACGGTGGCTTGTTTTGAGCGTGGGTCGCGCACACAGTCACGCCAACAGCTGGAACTGGAGGCGCGCGGGCACGGCCCGGGGATCGGAGGAGCAGGAGCCACGGAGTTGCCCCATCATATCAAGCACACAGGCGTGCTCAAGTTTGACTGTGGTTGTGGGCATGCTGGCCCTTCGCGCGCGGTCGATGCACCAGGGATCCAGAAGAGCACTCTCTCGCAGGTCGGCTCGTGCGGTGCTCCCAGTGTGCGTTGCGGCGCTTTGAATCGCGGGAAGAATAACAAGATTCCAGAACCATACTCGGACGGGGCTAGGACGAGGACGAATCCGTTCCAGAGCGTTCCGGAACGCTCTCAGAGCGTTCCGGAACGCTCTGAGAAGGCCGCGGCGCCCGAGACGTCTTCCAGAGCCGCCGGATCTCAGAAATGTTCGATTTATCCTCACCCGATTTCAACCTCGGGCCTGGCTTCGTCTTACCTTGGCCGCGTCTGCCCGCAGCGGGGCTCCCTCCCACGGATGGCGGCCGAGGCGGGCGGCGCCCAGAGTGGCCTCAGTGGGGCACGCCACCCCGTGGGAGCCCGACCCGAGCGCCCAGGTCCTCCAGGAGGCGCACGGCCAGGGCTCGAGGGTCTGGTCGTCGTCTGCTTATTCATTATTTTGCCGATCTGCGCCTGCCCTCGCACCCCTTCCCTCCCCCCCCCCAAGGAGTAGATCTTGGCTGTTTTCGGCGCCTGTTTCAAGCAGGTGGAGTCTCCCCCATAGGACGCACTGTTGCAAACAGTCGCATCAAGCAGAGGTCAGGAGCCAGGCCCCCTCCCTCCCCCCCCCACTGCACGTTCGGTAGTAAATCGTAGGAGCCTGGTGTACCATCTGAATGCCGTCTTTAGCGTCGATTAGCGTCTGGGAGTCGATGAGATAGCGCCGATTTAGCGTCGGCTAGCGTCGATGTAGCGTCGGTCTAGCGTCGACGAGCGTCGATTCGCAAGAGAGGGCCTGCGGACATCCATGTCATTGTCAGGGGCGCGGAAATGATCGCGCTTCGTGCGCCGCGGCCTCGGCCAGCAAGCTGCCCTTCTCCAAAGTGGCCTCGCGAGGGCGCGAAGATAGCCGCGTATCGCGGGGCGCGATGCGCGAAGTCAGGCGACCTACAGCCGACGCATCAGACAAGAAATCGGCCTGCAAGCGAGTGCCCCACGTAGATCTCTCATCCCCTTGGTGGCCCCCAGGGACCCACGGAAGCTCTGGGCCACCATACGACCCTCAGAGATTGACGAAGAATGCACCCCAGACTCGGATGCAACTCCTGGGAGGTTAAATTCTGAGTCGGCGCTGGTATACCCCTGGTCGAAATCTTGCCCGATCTGGCCTAATCCCGCTTCGTCTGGCTCTATCTCGCGCAATCCGACTCAATCCCACGCAGCCTGGCTGAATCCCGGGTTTCATCCAGCCCGATCCAGCCCAATGGCCCTTCAAGCGGTCGCAGGAATCCTTATGTAATCGTTCTGACGCAGGCCTCCCAGGAGTTACCTCCGAACCACGGAATCATGATCAATATTAACGCTCCCCTCCCAAACTTTTGCGGCGCCGCCCAAACCCTCCGAGGGTTGGCGGCGCCCATGTAGAATGCTAATATTGATATTTGCGTTACGTTTCGCAGCTGTTTGCACTCAAAGATAAACAGCGCGCGCCCTTCCCTCGCCCCGGGTCGGGCGCTCATACACATCTACGTACCTACCACTATATTCGCGTCAGGGACATCCTAGAATGTCTGCAAGTCCCACGTATGCAAGGTACACTTTGGGACCAGTGCCGAACAATATTACAATACTGGACGAACAACATGAACATCACAAACCATCGCCTTGGAATGCCATGATTGCCATTTTTCGCCGCTCCGCGCACGCATGCGGGGTGAGCGCCTCCTGCGGAGGACGGCGGTGGTTCGCGCGTGAGCTGTTCGCGTAAGGTCACGCGTAAGCGCCCTCGTCTCCACTTGTGGCTTGCCGCGCTGGCGGCCCACGCAAGCCACCGCGCAGGGTTGCTGCGCCATCTCGCGCAAGGCCCCTTGTTGATCGTCGCCCACATGTGAAATCTCGTCGGGGAGGGCGTCGCTTTGCAGTGGTCTCGGATAGAGAGAGAGAGAGAGAGAGAGAGAGAAAAAAAAAAAAAAAAAAAAAAAAAAACAAAAAAAAAAAAAAAGAGAGAGAGAGAGAGGGCACTTCCTACGTCAGTGTGTGCGAACCGCCGGCGGGGAGGAGAGGGTGGAGAGGGACTGGGGGACGGGGCGGCCGTTTCCGGACGGGGCCTCGCCTTCGGCGAACCTCGCAGGAGGAGTGTCGAGAGTTCAAGGAGCTGGACGAGGAGGAGGAAGAGGGAGAGGGGAGGGGTGCAGCTCTTGCACGAGTGTCGGGAGCCCTCCCTCTCCTTTGAGGGTACCCTCGTGTGTTCTTCGGTGTGGGCTCTCCGCCCTGGGGTGCTTTTCGGTTTGAGGCATCTCCACGGGACCCTGGGCCTCTGGCGACGGGGCCCATGCTCTTGGCCCACGTTCTGGTGGCCGTGTGCGACTACATCGGCACCAAGGCGCAGCGGCAGGAGGGCGAGACGTGCACCAGTCCAAGCCGTTGAAATGTAATGTTCCTTGCCGCCCTGCGAGGAGCAGGCGTTGCATCTTCGAGAAGAGTCCGAGGCTGCGAGAGACCGCGCCGCCGAGCTCGAGCTCGAGTTGGCCAAGAGCCTGGAGGCCGCGAAGGCTGCGCGGGGGAGGGCCTTCGTGAGAGGCTTGCTCACAGGGGGTGGCATGTGATCCGAGTCGCCATGTCTCCGCCGCTGATGTGCGTATCGCCCACCACTGCAAGAGTGTGTTGCAGCCCGCTGGAGTGGCACGTTTGAGTTCGTTGGGCTGCTCGCTCACATACTATGCGTGGCTCTCTGCTGCTGCGGAGTGGACCAGAGATTATAGCGTTCACGATTTACTTACATAATGATATTGCTGGTGTTCCGTCACGCGCTCGTCTTGTGAACAGGCTTGCCAGTAGTGTTGTGACTTCGTGTCAATATCGTACGCGTTTGGCTTGGGCGAAATGGCTTCGCTCACGGCGACGTCGTTCCAATATCGCACGCACTTGGACGAAATAGTTTCGCGCACATGAGTAAATGTTGGCTGGTTGGGGGGGCGCTTTCAGCGGCACGCCAGACTACCCTTAGTCTCTGTCTTTTTCCAGGATGGACTGGTCAGGCGGGGCCCGGCCAAGGGGCCCGTGGCGTCATGGGGAACCTTGGGAGAGGGGCCCAATGCGTCGGGAAGCCGAGCCGTCCCTGGAGGCTGGTGGGGGAGGGGCCTGGGGTCCAGCTTGGTGCCCGCCTGGGACCCAGTGGAGGTGACCGACTCAGGGGTTCACAGGACATTGATGCAAATCGGCGCCAACCTTGGATTTCTGTCTTTACTTGCCGGGGTACCCAGAGCAGACCCAGGGTCGTGGTATTGTGTAGGGGCGTCGTCATTTTCTTGTTCATCGTTTCGACTGTTGTTTCTGCTGCCGTCCGCATTGATCGCGAGGCTGAATTTGAATCAGTTACATGTTGCATCAGAAGGTCAGAGGACAAGGGCCAAGTCCGTCGCGTTACAGGATCAGGTTTCAGTTGTTTCAACTGTTGCGCAGCGGGAATCAGGGCAAATACGTTCAAAGACAGTGGGAGGAAGGTAGAGGGAGGAAGAGAGGGATTGAGGGATGTGGCGGTGGAGGAGTAATTTGAAGAAGGTCGAAACAATCGAGAGGATACAGTGCAGGCATGTCGATTTGACGATGCGCTGTTCTGTTTTTGTGAGGAGCAAGTGTTGCAGCTCAAGGACGAGTCCCACACTGCGAGGAGTCGCATCGCCGAGCTCGAAAATGAGCTAGTCAAGAGCCACGGCGAAGCGGAACAGGCCAGACGCCGCCCTTGGCGCGCGTGGGGAGCACACGACTCCTCAGACATCAAACCTGCCCAGGGCTCACTTTCTTTCTGTAGTATGCCTTCTCCTGTTCACAGCTGGGTCTCCCCTGAGAGTCGCGAAAAAGTTGCAAAATCGTGAAAATCGGGACCACAGTCCTGGACCCCATCTTCCTGCGTCGTTTTTCGAGCTGGATCGATCTGTGAGGGTCTCAGGGGCCGAAACCCGGAGAAAACGCCATTTGTGGAAGGATTGCAGCTCCCGGATTTGAGGGTCATTCTGTATTTCTGATGGGCAGCGGACCCCGCCGCGTGAGCGCTCTAGCTCTTCCCCCCCCCCCCCCTCCCGCGGCCGCTCCTCCCCCTTTTTCCATTCTTGCATCCGGGTAATTCGCAATGCCGTCACCTGGCTTGCCCGAGCGCGCGTGCGGACTGCCTCTGCCGCGCTGCGACGTAGAAAGTGTCGCTCCACCGGTTCTGCCCCACTACGCATCGGCGCGACGCGCTGACCACTTCGCGGTCAATGGGCGTCAACGTCCCCAGCTTTTTTCCGCGTTTCCCGCCCCGCGGAGCGGAGCGATACTCTATCCGGTCGCGGGGCATAGTCGCTGGGGCCGCCACGGTGACACGCTAAGCAAAAGTTCCCGACCGCAGTCATGCAGAAGCTGCATGAGGTACGGAGGAAAGTTGCAATCACAGGGGCTGGAGAAACGGGTGATGTTGATTCTGAGCGAGGCGGAAAACAGTGGGGAGGCGCTGAGGGCCTGGCCATGCGGCATGCTATAACCGAGTGCGCGCTGGAACCCGTCGTGGCCAAATGTAGCGTGCACGGTCGGAACTCCTTCTGTTCCTCTACCACTTGATCCAGTTCCGCTTGCTCAGACTTAACCGTGCAGGTGAAGATGAGCCTGCAAGCAGTGGCGTACCTCTTCAGCGCGAACAGCTCTAGCAGCACCAGAGACGTCAACAACACTGCCTGATCGGGTATGCTATTCCAGAGGGCACAGTTGAACTCGCGTTCGTCGGACCTACATTATGTGGGTTCATGCCCCACTATTTTGGAAGTCTGCTGTAGGTCGTTTTCCTACATCGACGGCCTGCAAGCCACGCAAAGCAATCAAAATAACGATTTGTCAAACCATCGGAGTGTTACAAGGACAGGTATAGCAATGGTCTTGCTTGGAGCTAGTTCCTTCCATGTCGCCATTGTTTGTATGACATAGCAAGCGAGGGGATTGTCGCATCGTGCCATAAGTACGAGGAGGGCGTCGATGGGGGAGACTAGAAGGTGCTCTGTAACAGATATGGTTGCAATGCGAATATGGTTCTGTACGTGTTCCTGCTGGTTACGATTGCAAGCCGCAGACGCCATCGTGCAAGCAGACTCCGCGAGGCGCTCAGATGTTCATTCAAAGGAGTAGGCAACACTAAGAGTGATATTTATCGACGATCCGAGCAACCCCACCAACCAATCTTGACACGGTGCCCAGACGAGTTGCCCTGATCAGGGACGGATGAGCAGGTAGTGGAATAAAGGGCTGGGCAAGACGTCATACCCCAGAGGGGGGGAGGATGGAGCAGGATGATGCTGAGGAGGAGGATGAGGAGGAGGAGGAGCAGGGCGAAGGGGGAGGACGGCGGAGGAAGGAGGACGGCTAGGCGGATGAGGAAGAGGAGGAGGAGGAGGAGGAAGAGGAGAGGCAGGAGGAGGTCGAGCAGAAAGGCCGCAGGCCTCTTGGATGCCTCTTGTGGCGTCTTCGGGGATTATTGGCAGTCCGGGGGGCCTCTTGGGTCGTCTTGGGTGCCTCTGAGGGGCCTCTTGGGGGTCTCTTGGGAGCGTCAGCGGTGCCTCTTGGGGGCCTCTTGGGGCCTCTTGCCTTTTGGAGCTTTCAGGGCTATCTTGGAAGATATCGATCAAAGGAGGGAGCTCCTCAGGGTCCCCCGCCAGGAGCCTCAAATGGTGCCAAATATGTCATCCAATCCATGATTTCTGCCTTTGACCGAGGCCTCCTGGGGCGTCTTGGGTGCCTCTGGGGGGGCTCTTGGGGCCTTCTGGGGGACCCTTGTGAGCCTCTTGGGTCGTCCTGGGCACCTCTCGGGGCTCTCTTGAGGCATTGGGAGCTTCGGGGGCAAGCTTGGCGTCTTCTTGGAGGAGATCGATCAAAAGAGAGGGGGCTCCTTAGGACCCCCACCCCACAGGATGCCAACATGTGGCCAACATCTTATGAGATTGGTCTTCTCGCCGAGGTCTTTTGAGGAGTCTTGGGTACCTCTGGGATGCCTCTCGACCTCGTGGGGATCTTTTGGGAGCCTCTTTTCTACATTTTGGGGGCCTCTTGGGGCGTCCTGGGCACCTCCGTCTTGGGGCGTCCTGGGGAGTCTCGGGGGCCATCTTTGGCCCATCTTGGAGGACATCAACGGAGAGGAGCTCCCTAATAGGCCGTCCCTCCCAGGAGGCCAACATGCTGCCAACATTAAAATCAATGATTTCGGCATTCTCGCCGAGGCCATCTGGGACACTCTGACCCTCGCGATCCCCTCCCTCCAGGTCTAGGGGGAGGGGGTAGGGGGGGGTCAAGGCACCCTCCTAGATAGCAAGCCGTCTAGCTCACTCCAACCCGCCCTCCCAACACATAAGTGACACCCGAGCCTGAGCATGTTCAGCGGTCGTCTTTGGATGGAGAGCTACTGGGAACCAACACCGGCCCCATGTGCGCGACGCTGGGGCGAGGTGCGCCACGCGTGCCAGGCGCGCCACGCGCGCCATGCACCCCTGGGGCACGAGCGTGCCAGGCACGCCTGGTGCGCCAGATGCGCCACCGTCGCTGCGTGCGCCAGGTGTGCCGCATATTCCAGACGCGTCAGCTACGCCACGTTCGGGGCACGTGCAGAGTGCGTCAGGTGCGCCTGCGAACGTGACAGCACACATCGGAAAACACGTCGGCCCCCACCATCCTCGTCGAAAACCAATGCCCATCATTGTGTCTGGTGGGCCTGCGCACAGCAGGCCACACGCCACCACCCCCGCAGGCCCTGTCAAAAACCATTCGGCAGTGATTGCGGGTTGGCTGCGCATGATCCAGATCTAGCCGCGAGGTGCATGTTGTTTTGTTTTAGTCAGGGATGGCAGCCCTGCGCACAGCAGATAATATGCTGACACCTCCGCCGTCCCTGTCAAAAATAATTCAAAGTGCTCACGGACCTCACGAGCATGACTCAAGACTTTGCCCCAAAGTATACTCTGTCTTGTTTTTTGGCATGGACAGTGGGGGGGAGCACATCGGGCTGGCCGCGCATGCTCCAAATGTGGAGGCAAAGTGCGCTTTGCTTTGTTTTTGACAGGGGTGGTGGGTAGGGGGTGATCATGGTGTGCTGCTTGTTCCTGGTTTGCTGCCGGTCGCCTGGGGAGGGGGTGTATATTAATATGGAACGATGATAAGCCCTTCCCCGAAGGCGAAGAAGGGGTCTGAAGAGGAAGCTCTCTAAACCACTCACGCCCTAAAGGGCTGGTTGGATTAACTGGGTTCCTGGCATTCCAGGGCAGTTGTGGAAGTGGAGGAAGTTGCATCCGGGCCAGCAAGACTTATTTATGACCGTTATCATCCATAGCAGGGTTCCCTTCTGTCCCCTGCCCTTGCAACAATTGCCCTCGTGTTCGCAGCTCGCTCGATCTTGCCGTGCTCACTGCATCCTCATCATACGCAACCGCTTTCCAGGCAGCTGCCCTCGAGAAGGCAAATGTTCGAGCCGCCGCCCTGGAGCGTGAGCTCGAGCTGGCCCGACATGAGGCGGACAGGGCCCTGCTGGCATGGGGACGCAGTGTTGCGTCGGGTCGTCTTGGTTGGCAGCGACGATTGAGATGATGAGTGATTGCGGGCGGCGGGCGACAAAGAGCCTTCGGGGGGACCCCTGGCAGAAGATTGGAGAACCGCCCGGAGAACCCTCCGGGGAACCCCATGGTACAGAGCACCAGGGAGAGCCATGTGGAGAATCAGGACCGCAGGGGAAACACTCGCACAAGGCGGAAACCAACGGTGAGTGCGTCTTAGTTGTTGAAGATAGGAGGTTCCGGTGGCGTGCTTCCGACAACCAGTTTGTTCTTGGGGGTCCTGGATTCCAGGTCTTGCAGTAGTGCGTGTGGCATGTGTATCGCGCAGTCGGGGACGCAATTAGTTCATCTCTGCAACGTCTCTGCAATTGTCCGTTGATTCCCAATTCGAATGTGGTCATTGCAGAAGTGCGTTTGGCGCGCGTGCGTTTACATTCAAGCCGGTGGTTAGTAGGGAGCGCTATCTGATGATGCGAACTTGTCGTTGCACACTCCGCAAGATTTCGCCCGCGTCAAACTGGAGACATATTGCGATTTCCGACAGGAAGGGAATCTCGTTTCAAAAATTAGGCGGATGCTATTCTTAGTGTTTGCCAGACTATTTCGATCATGCATTGCTCTCTCGATTCAAGCGCGGTTTCAACGAGTTCCCATTCAGTGTTTGCTCTGAGGGGTCGCGGGAGACAGATTGCTCGCTGCCAGCCCCGAGCCATGGCTCTCCCTATGCGCTGGGAGTTCGGCCAGCCGCGACTGGCCCCGACTAGTCCCGCGTGCCTGATTGCCTTGGTAGATGAACCTCTGGATTCTGAAAGATCACTGGAGGGACTCGCGATCATCACCCGATTCTGGGCGTCCCAAAAGGGGGTCGAAGTAGACGGGGTCGGAGGATCGCGCCGCATCGCCTGAATCGGCGAAGCGGCTCGATGTGGAGCCCGAATTTCTCCGCGCCGACGGTGCTGATGCATCGCCGAAGTCGCCGATGTATCGCCGACGCATTGGCGATTCATCCCCGACGTATCGGCGATGCAGCGCGATCCGCCGAACACATCACCCCATCTAGGAGGCCTCTGCCGACGCTGGCCGGATCCAGGTGTTGTCAAAGAATTGTCAGGTAGAAGCGGCCCCAGTCATCGTAAGACCAGCCTCAGACGTGGTACGCGCAAGCTTATGTCAAGGAAGTTCGTTCCCTTGATCCAGCTTCGGGGCGTTTCGGGATCAAGGCCGGATGTCTTCTGCGCGTTGATGTGTGTAAAGAGTGTGGGTTGGGGTGTTCTGGGGGCTGGACTCAGAAGCCATTCCATATTTTTGCACATGTCGTCAGTGGACAGGGGGAGTTGACGGCGATCGCTCCCACCAAGTCATAGTCACAAACCACCGCTGCCAGTAGTATGCCACTTTCACGATGGAAAGTAGCACGTTCTTCCATTGGAATCTGAGTTATTGACCTGGTTTCTGAATCCGCTCGGACGACATGAGAGTTCGCACTGTAGCGGCGGCTTATTTCCCTGGGCCGTGTACATGTCGCGTACCCGCAGCATTTGAATATTATTTGTTCGCAAAGCCGTGATGTCAAGCCTCGCGGAAAAGAACCAGTAACATTAGGGAGCAGTACATTGAGAAGTTCGGAGGAAGAGTTTCGGAGGAAGGAGGAAGGAGGAAGGCGGAAGGAGAAAACATGGAGGACTGATGGAGCGGGGGGGGGCAGGGGACAGGAGGGCAGAGGAGGAATGATGGCGACGATGGATGAGGTGTTGGAGCTCGAGGAGGAAGATGGAGGAGACTCCTTCCTTCTCATCCTCCAACTCCAACTCCTCCGAGAAGAGGGAGGTTGCTCTAACTCCATCCCCCGACTCCGACTCTCACTCCTCTTACTGCTCATGCTCCTCCTCCTCCTCCTCCTCCTCCTCCTCATCGTCGTCATCATCATCATCATCATCATCATCATCATCATCATCATCATCATCATCATCATCATCCCTCCTTTCCCTATATTCATCCACCCCCTCGCCTCCTCCGCGTTTCTTCCTTGCCGCCGCTGCTCTCTCCTCTGCCTTCCTCCCTCCAATCCCTCTGCCCCCCTCCTCATTCTCCTCCTCCTCCTCCTCTTTCTCCTCCTCCTCCTTCCCTCCTCCTCCTCCTCCTCATCCTCCTCCTCCTCCTCGTGTATCCTGTATCCTGTCAGCAATGGTGTTCTTAGAACGCTGCCGCTTTCCCCCGGAGGCCCGGTCGGCCCCCCCCCTGCTGAGGGCAGACGAAAAGACAAAGTTAGGGACCGAGGCCCCGCAGACAGGAAGAAGGGAGAACAGGGAGTAGCAGCAAATAATCATATCACCACGTCGTAGCGAAGAGGTGGGAAAGGTTGTAGATGCTGAACGTGTGGCGGCGGCAGCTGCAGACGTGCGCCCTGGGGACGGTGTATAGGCCCCCCTCTTTCGTGACGCGTGGCCCTCTTGGGCCACCGCCCTAGAGGGTGCCTGGGGTCTCCCTCCGTAGAGGTGCCTTGGTTGGTCAGAGGTGAGGGGCGAGGGAGGGCGAACGCAGGCAGAAGGAGGTCGGGGTGGAAAGGCCAGCGAGGGTGAAAAGGCGGTCGGCGAGGGCGCTGTGTAGGAGGGCTGGGAGGTTTAAAAGGCGGTAGAGGTAGCGGTGGCTCTTTAAAGAGGGTTGCGGAGACTATTCCGCGGGGCCCTTTTTGGGGTGACGCTCGCAGCGGGGAGGGGCCCAAGGCCCTCTCCCTCTGCTTCTAGGACTCCTCCACAGTCGTCTAAGAGGCCGACGGCGGAATCCCCCACCTGCAAGCAGGCGCAGGGTTCCCAGCACGTCGGCCTCTTGGTCGCCTTGGGGGTTTCCGCCGAGCGTGAGGGGGGTTTTGGGCACTACCCAGTGGTGGCGCGAGGCAGCACCAGCCACACTCGCCAATGTAGATGGCAGAAAGGCCTCACCCCCTGCACATAGCACCCCCCCCCCTAAGCCGCCACCATCCCCATAACTGGTACCCTCCCCCTCCGAGGCAGGAGTAGGGTACCCAGATCATGGGAGTGGTGGCTGCTTGGGGCGTTTCCACCGTGCGTGGGGGTGGTTTCTGCCATCTGTGGCGGCGGCGCGGGTGTGTGGCGCCCTGGTGGCGGCTGAGGGTGGGTTGAGGGGTGAGGAGGTGCCCTGGTGGCTCGCTGGCCTTAACCTGGGCAGCCCTGGACCCCATACCACCAGCAGCTGGCGGTCCTGTCTGCTGTGAAGCAAGAAGTAATTATATGAAGATGTAGCATGCTGATCGGTCGCCGTCAGGCCGGTCCGATCGCGAGGGTTGCCTCGTGTTTTTCGAGCAGTGGCGAAGCGTCTTGGCTTGTCAATACGTTGCGGTTCTGGTTCCAGGACATGTCCGAGTGGTTGTTGGCCCTCTGGTCCATCCAGTTGTGTCTCTTCCAACGCTCGAGTCCTGCACCGATGGCTGATGCAGTGGGCCTCGGTGTTGTAGCTTTGGACCGCGGGCGGCTCGGTGCTGATCTCCACGGTGGTGGCACAGTTCCCGTTCCGCTCGCAGTCGCCTTCCATGACGTCGCCATGGTTGGAGCAGGAGGTGGGTGTCGAGGTGGCTGCTGGGGGCTGAGGTGCGCTTGAAGTAAATGTCGTGCTTTGTGAGCCGAAGCAGTACACGGGCGTCAGCATGATGTCGGCGTAGCCGTCTGTGCCAGGCGGGAATGCAGGGCGTGGCCCCTCGCAGGGGTGCAAGAGGAAAGGATGTCCGGGTAGGCGTTCTGGATATCGCGGGCCTGATGGGCCTGCGAGGGCCGCGCTGGCCCCGCCTCGGCCCCCCTGCGAGGCAAATGGGGGCGGGATCGGGTGATCGCGGCACCTCCTCCTCCTCTTCCTCTTCCTCCTCCTCCTCCTCCTTCTTCTCCTCCTCCTCCTCATCCTCCTACTCCTACTCTTCCTCCTCACCCTCCAGGTTCGACGATCGAGAATCTGTGCTCGGTAGCGTTCCTGATCTTGCTTGATCCTCGGGGGCCCACTGCGATACCTCTGGGACGCCCCCCTCCCTCTGGCTCCCCCCTTTCCCTCCCCTCTCTCCTCTGACTTCCCCCTCCCCCTTGACCCTCCCGCCCTCCCTCCTTTCGCCCCCCCCCCCCGCCCCGCTCCACAAGTACAGATACTACTCTCCTCTCTCCCCCGATGACGTCCGGAAGATGTTCGGCCCCCGGCTGCGTATTGTTTTTCAGGATTCCCGGGAGTTGGGTTTTCGTTTAGTTTTTTGTTCGGGATGTTGGTCCCGCTGAAGCGCTGGCCTCATGTTCGGGCTTCCGCTCGTTCCGAATAGTGCTCTCGCTGCAGCGTTGGCCTCATTTCCGCGCTTCCGCTCGTTCTGATTCGTGCTCCCGCTGCAGCGCGTGCGTCATTATTTCCAGTGCCATGCCACGGCATGAAATGCAATGCTATTTGGTGTTCCGCTGTGCGATGACATGCCGTCAGCTGCAATGCTAGGATATGCAGTTCTTGACTACGCAGTGCCACGCCATGCTATGCCATGCTAGGCTTTGATCTTCAACGCCATGGTATGCCATGTTCTGTTATGGGCCGCTGTGCGATGCCGCTATTGCGTTGCAATGCGTTGTGATGCAATTCTTCACTACGTAACGCAACGCCATGCTATGACATACTGAGCCCTGCCGTGCTCTTCTACGCCCCTCTATACCGTGCTCTACGATGCATCGCGCACCCTCTCGGGATCATTGCCCTGCTCGACATCCGACTGTGCGAACAGAGAGGACATCGACGCCATGGTAAGGGACGGCAGGGAGGGGTAGGACGTCAGATATGACGCGAGCGCACCTAGCTTGTGCGCCCCCCTCCCTTGCCGCCCCCCGCCTCTCGTTCTTCCCCCTCCGCTTCGCTCCCACGCGCGTCTTCCTTCCCCCCCACTCCTCCCCCCCGCGAGTCCGCAGGCCGCCAGGGCCGCGGACAGGTGCGCTGAGGACGTGGTCGACCTGCGGCGAGAGGCGATTCTGCCTCGCGCCTCCTCATTCTGCTCGTCCTCCTCCTCCTCCTCCTCCTCCTCCTCCTGCTCCCCATTCCTTCCCCCTCCTCCTCTTCCTCCTCCTCCTCCCCCTCCTCCTCCTCCTCCTCCTCCTCCTGGCGGAAAGGGTGGCACCGCAAACGAGACCCTGGAGCAGCGTCTCTCACGGGTCATCGGCGCCCAGTTCAACAGCATCCAGCACGACATGCAGCAACACATCACGGCCTCGATGTCCGCCGCGATGGCCCACGTGCAGCAGGAGCTCGCCTCGACCATGCAGATTCAGCTGGTTCCGAGGGTTGCGCGACTCACGGCCGTGGAGGCCGACGCCAGGCGCCAGCAGGACCGTACCGAAGCCCTCGAAGCACAACATCAACAATTACGGCGCCAGGTCCAGCAGATGCAGCAGTCCTTGCCCATCGCCGAGGCAGCTCGGAAGCCATTGACGTGGCCAGGCTCGCGACTTGGGGCAGGCCGACCAACCCGCAGCTCTTCAGCGTCAATACAGCATCAGAAGTACACAAACAGGCTCTCATGGAAGGTCTCTCAGAATGGTTCGATCTTGCCCACGTTCGCAAGGATACTGTTCAGATCATGAGCCCTGACGCCCCAGGCAAGAAGTTTGCCCTACACTGCCCAGGTGCTGAAGCAGGAGTCCTTCGTGCTCAGGCTCTCACTCGCGCTCTTCGTGATTCCACCGGTCAGTACCGCAAGTTCTCGGCCAAGGGAGTGGACGGATACGAAATTCACGTATACATCGGTGCTGATCGAAATCCGAAGCAGATCCGGGAAGAAGTACAAACCAAAAAGCTCCAGGATATTTTGCAGCGCGTGGCCCCGAATGGCGAATGGTGGACTAAACGACAGATGGGCTTGGTCTATTGTGCAAGTGCCGCCGTGGTGGAGGTCATTCATGGAGCTGCTCCGAACGATCCCACAAAGCTCGCTTGGAATTCGCAGCCCACCGCCACCTACAACATCGACAAAGACGCCGCATCGCAAGCATTCCGCAACATGTTCCGGGAGGTGGGCACCTCCACGTGGTCATGTTCCTGATGACCGTTGGTGTACATGGGAACTTGAGCCTGGGGGGCAGCAGGTTCAAATCGTATCATGGAACGCCTCAACCTAACTCTGCCGTGATGCTACCCGTCGAAGAAAGAAGGTATCCAAACTGATCGCCCACACGAAGCATCGTGCCATCATTTGTCCCCAAGAGATGCATGGGACGCACGAGGCGCTCACCAACTACATCCACCAGTACCCGCACGAGTGCCAGATCTTCACCACCGTGGGCGAGACGCCTGGAGTCGGCGGCGCGGCGATTCTAGTGCCCGGGCATTCTCCTCGACAGCTGGCTCTCCACCCGGTTGAACACCACCCTGTGTTCGACCACCAGGTTCTGGTTCAGGGCCGTACCCATTGCGTCTCGATATTCAATTCAAAGTGGCAGAGCAGCGCGCGCATTATGAACACCCACAACCACGAGCCCGACCACAACCAGCGCAGTCGAATCCGTACCTGTTGGAATGGCAACGCAGCGTGGGCCCGGGGCGATGAGCTCAAGCGACTGGCAGTCGCGGTTGGGGACTTCAACGTTTCCGACCAGCCGAACGACTCGCTCCTCTTCCCTGAGGCGCGGCAGGCCCGTCTTTCACAGGCCGGGCGTGGCGAACACCACGAGGCGTTTTGGCGAGCTTTGTTTGCATGGCAAATGACGGATATCGCGACCGATCTCCCCGCCCACTTCTCCAGCCCCTCCTCCTCGCTTTCTACGATTGACCGCGCCTTCGTCTTCCTCTCCCCTCATTTGCTCCTCGAGGCCGAGGCGGCCCTTCACCTGCTGCAGGAAGCCCCGCAGCTTTCCGACTGGCATCTTAGTGATCACGCGATCCTCTCGCTCATTTTGAGGCCGCGCGGCGGCGCCCCGAAAGACCGGCAGGCCATCCCGCCGATCATATTTAAGGATCCCAGGTTTCGCGAGGTGCTTAACAATTGCTTGGCTGGCTGCGATCTTGACCCCCTCTCCCCCCCCCGCTGCCTGGCCCCCCCTCAAGGATAACATGATCGCGGCCGCCGCAGTTGCCCGTCGCGAGGTCCAGCGCTTCCCAGACGGGGCAAGGGGGGGATCGCACCATCGAGGCTAGGTGCATGGCGCTCCGTTCGATCGCGCGTGCTATTCGGCGACAGGACCTCCAAGCCGCTACCAGGATCCAGGCAGACTCTGAGTATGGCAGGCGGTTTCTCCTCTCGGTAGGCCCTCGAGTTCTGCTCCGGGACAAGGATGGTTGTAGGAATGAGGTCGTCGCCCAGAATTCTGCTCGCCACCGCCGGCTCCAGGAACAGGCCGCGGCTAGGGCCCGGGCCAATCCTGGAGAAATGCAGCATTGGGGGGAAGTCCGAGAGATTTCCAGTAGGAGAGCGTTGCTGTGGCGGACTCGTCAGCGACGCGTTGTTCTTCGAGGCATTCGGATCTCTCAGACAGGCCACCAAGGCGACGTAGTCAGGGAGCCAGGTCCGATAGCGGACGCTCTCAAGGAGCATTGGCAGCCTTTTTTTCGGAGCAGCCCAGACCGGCGCGAGAGATCTAGTATGTTCTTGACGAGCGTATGCCCGACATTCCTGCCTATGAGTTTCACGTTCCCACCTCTGATGAGATGGCCAAGTGCTTAAATCGTTCACGTGACTCTGCGCCTGGCCCGGACCGATTCACATTTGCAGCGTGGAAGAGCCATCCCACATGTCTCGCTGTACTCTTACCGCCTCCTCCTCCACCTCATGGGCGGCAACCCCGCCCCCCCCCGGCCTCGACCACAGTCTCTTTGCATTTATCCCGAAAGGGGAGGACCCCAGGGATGTCGCAGACTGCGTCCGAGCTCCAGGTGCCCTCAGACGTCTGACCCTCAAGAATTCGGACAGCAAGCTCCTCGCGTCTGCGCTGAATCACCAGTTGCAGTACTGCGTAGCCGGCCGGACCCGCGTGGTCCAACAGGGATTTGTCAAAGGACGCAATCGAGCCGATAATGTGATTCGCATGGGCACGGCTGCTCGCCGTGCTAGCGTAGTCAACGCCGACACCGATCCGCTCGTTTTAAGCTTCGATATCAAGGCGGCTTTTCCCAGCATGAGCCAGACCTGGCTCCGACTTGTGCTGGGGAGGCGCCGCCTACCCCGGAGCTTATCGCTGGCGATCGCTGCTCTGGCAGCCGACACGCTGGCGCATATGTTGGTCGGATCTGTGGTCGTGCCCATGTTTTTGATCGTTGCAGGCGTTCCCCAGGGGCGCCCCCTCTCTGGCTCCCTCTGGGCCCTCGGGTTTGATCCCTTCCTCCGTCACCTCATCCCCCCCTTCCCCTCCAGAGAGCAGGCCGCCCTGGGGGCGCGCGCCGACGATGTAGGAGTTGTGCTCCATCAGATATCGACGTTGCCACTGTTGCACGCGACGCTTCAGTTCGCTCAACGTCTCGCAGGGCTAGCCCTTCAGCCGGCGAAGTGCGTTGCCGCGCCGCTTGCCGTCGCCTGCGCAGCAGTTGAATGCGCCCGCATCGCCAGTCAGATAGCTCAAGCGGCGCCGGAGTGGGCGGGCTTCCACATCGCGAGTTGGGCCAAATATTGCGGGGTCTTCATCGGCCCTGGGGCCGATCTCCGAGAGCAGCGGAAGGAGGCCGGCCAAAAGTGGTGGGCGCGGTCACGAGCGACTGCCTTGATTCGAGCCCCGAGCGAGGCTGCCACGCGCCTGCATGAGCGCACGTGCTTATCAGTCTTGTGGCATCGTTTGCAGTTTTCCCGCTTTGCCAGGAAATCGCACGCAAGGAATATTTTGCCCTCCGCAAGCTCCTCCGTCTCCCACCCAGCTCTCTCTCTCTCTCTCTCTCTCTCTCTCTCTCTCTCTCTCTCTCTCTCTCTCTGCGCGATTTCTTTGAGTTGAGAATCTGGCTCCGCTCCCCGACCCCTGCCAGCGTGCAAGTGTGCGCATTGGGATGCGCATGGCGCGCGTCCGCGCGCGCATTGGCGCATTGGGCGGGGGATTTGAGCGGTGGTGGGACGGGTCGGACGCGCGCGGCTTTCACGTGAGAGCACGGCGAGGTCTCCTCTCAGCGGACTGCTGGGCCGAAGGTTCACAGGAATCCTGCAGCACTATAGAAAGTTCGCCCGCGGCTGCCGCGGCCTCCCTTTTCCTGCGAGTCGCATTCAAGAGGCGATCGCTGCAGCCAGCCCCAGAGCTGAAGGCGCCCGGATGGAAGAAGGGGCGGGGCGTCCTCGTCAGCGTCGCGGGAGCGGGGGGAAACGGCCCCAGGGCGCCTTCATCGCTAAACTAATTATATTAATGTACCCGGATCGTTTCCACGAGCTTTTGTCCAGAAGACTCCGCACGCGGCCCCCAAATTTGGACCCCCTGCCAGAGGGCGAGATCAAAGCCAGGTGGCGATGTCTCCGGCAGGTTTTGGCAAGATCGCAACCCAGTAGAGTTTGGTCTCGTCTTAAGACTCTGGCTGGAGGGTGGGTCACCAGCCACAGAGTCAGGATCCTCGCCCCTTTACAGTGCCGATTTGGCTGCCCCGACTGCCCTGACTCGTTCCTCCACTACCTCTCTTGCCCCCGCCTGCTACATCTCATCGCGCTGCCCCGTCTGCATATCCCCACCGCTGATCCGTTCCTTTGGCTTGGCCCGGGATCCGAGGAGGAATGCCAAGACACCGATCTCACGGTGGCCCTTGCACATGACTTAGTGAGTCTCGCTTGCAGTATATTCCATAAACTTCGTGCCGAGCTAGCCGACGCCCCGCAGCCGCTCGGCAGCTATGTGCAACGCCTTTCAATCCGCCGCGCGGCGCTCACGAGGCAGTAACCCAGGGCGCGCCTATGGGCGGGCGCTCCCCCCCTTCCCCCCCCCTCCTCCTCGCCCCCCTCCTCCTGGGCGCAGCAGAGGGGGGCGGGCGCGAGGTGATCCGACGCCCCGCGGGGCCGCTGCCTCGAGGGGGT